ATAATTGGAGATATTTTTTTTGTCAGAACATCAATATATTTGTCCCACTTCAATCTGTCATCAAAAGTAATACCAAGATATTTTATCTGGTCAGTTTGTTTCAAGAGTTCATTTTTTATTTTAAGGTTGAGGTGAATTTTTTGTTTATTTTTTTGGTGAAAAATCATATATTCTGTTTTGTTAGTATTTATCGATAAAAGGTTAAATTGGAGCCATTTTTCAATTTCAAGTCTTCATTTATCATATTTTCTAAATCTGAAGGATTCTTGCCTTCATATAAAAGTACTGATATTTTGAACATAAAGTAAATATAGTATAGGTCCTAAAACAGAGCCTTGTGGGACACCCTTATTGATTAATAGTTTATTTGACACAGAGTTGTTTGATTTTGTATTGATTGTCCTATTTTCAAGATATGAATTCAAAATATTTCTCACAGTGCCTCTGAGTCCCATTGTTTTTAAGTTTTCTAAAAGTGTTTTATGATCAACTGTGTCGAAAGCCTTTTTGAGATCAATGAAAACAGCTACCACATAATTTCCTGAATCAAGTCCTCTCTGGATTGATTCTATCACTTGTAGTACTGCTGCTTGTGTTAATAATACCATCTGGGGCTCTTCACAAGGGGGCTGCAATGTATCTTGGCAGCAGGCGTTGAATGAAGACACCCTATAGAAAACTATAATACATCATAGTATTTATTCAACTTCTAGCGGCTCCACCAGAACTAGCAGAAGAAGCAGCAGTGGCTAGTGCTAGAGGCTTCCAAACCGAAACACATACAAGTGAAATACATGAAGAATTACCTGGTATAAAACCTATGGAAGTCATTGGATATATTGGTATCACCAAACCGAAGCATCCAGCAAAATCGCAAAAATGATGGAACATTTTGTTGTACAGATTTTTATAATTTTTATGAAAAATAAAGTTATTCCTGTAAAGTATAGGAACTCACTTTCTCACAAAATATTATATACATCGACAAGAAACAAGTGAATAGATATTATATACACCAAGGTAGTAAATAATATCAGTATTATATGGCTCCGTGGTCAGAGCTGGGCAAATACTCTGAAAAAAGTATTCAAATATTAAGTATTAAATACCGAATATTGAAAATATTTGTATATTGAATATTTTCGAAGGCCAAAAAGTATTTGAATAACAAATACAAAAGTATTTGAATAGTTCACAGTGAGTATTTCAATACACCCAAAGTATTTGATTGTTTGCAAAGTATTTGAATACGCTGAAAGTATTTGAATATTTATAGATTAAGTATTTGAGTATTTCCGAAGTATTTGAATACTTTACTAAAAACATCCAAAGTATTCAAATATTCTCAAGGATTTGAATACATTCATGTAACTTGGGTATTTTTGACGCTTTTAATCACCTTGGGTAATGTGGATTTGAGAAATTGAGGCAGTTTCCATAGCAAAAGTACTGCACTGGGAAGGCGTCAATTAGTCAAAACCCAACATCAATAGAAAATGATGATGTCTGATTAGTGACCTACTCACTTACCTATGATTGTTAAACAGAATTATCATTTATTTTCACTGGATTCCTTTGGATTTTCGATCCTCGTCTCTGAAAATGTATATTATATAATATATATTATAATAAATTCACCATTCACTATATTGGATGTTGGATGTGGGGGTCTCTCGGGGTCGAGATGGCCGTTAGTCAGAATCTGGATATTCAATGATTCTCGGAGTATTCCTAAGTATTTAAATACCTACTTCCACAATGTTTGATTATTTTACGAGTATTTAAATACTTCTGAGTAATTAAATACTCTGAAATAATTTAAATACTCCAGATATATTCGAATACTCTGCGAAACTATTTGCAAATACTAAGTTATATTACAACAAATATTTGTAAGTATAAATATAATTACCTGAACCAGGAAGTATTTGAAAACTTGGTATTTGAATACTGAAAAGTATTTAAATACCACAAAGTATTTGTGAATACAAATAATGCCCAATTCTGACAGTGGTGACCAAGGTGTATATTAATTTTTCTCTTCGACTATCGTATTCAACATTGATTACATATAGGTTAGTAATTAATGAATGAAGATGATTCCAAGACACCGTGGATCCCAACTCATTATTCAACGGCACTCGACCAATCACAGATTCAGAATTTTCAGGATCCACAGCAACTGAAAAAGTTAGACTAATGAAAAACCAGCAAGTCTACCAAACAAATTTCTCAAGAAGGCTCTGCTTCATTCAACGGGTCACGTCACGGCTTGACTTTCGCGAATGTCAGATTGACTTATAGAGTCTTTCAAGTTTTAACTTTGATATCTGGAGGATATGATGAAGGCTTGCCGTTCCATAGAAATGTACTCTATGAATATTGAAGATATTTGAGATCTTGGATCTGCATGGATGATAACTATTCCTGAGACCAAAACAAAAACTGTAAGGAGGTTCACTGTAACCGGAAAATTTTATCAATTTTATAAAAAGTACATTGATATACGAGCAGCAAATGTGATTTCCAATTTTTTCATGAATTACCAAGAAGGAAGAAAGAATGTACTCTTTAGAAAATTGCAATTAATAAGTTTGCAGCAATAGGAAAACAAATAGTTACATTTTGGAAGATAGTCACTTAGTACGAGAAACATAATTTACTGACCTAATAATTATTGTGTTGTTTCATCATTGAGTTCGTTGAATATTAAAGATTCCTGTCAATTGAATTATAATATCATTGAAATTCATACATCAAGTATATTATTTTCATAAATAATAATTAGAATACATTAAATTTCTGACTATCGTATAGTCGTAGAGAAAGTATAGCCTTCTACTCGCGTATAATAGCTATTATCCTCTCGGATAATTCCGAAACTCGCCTACGGCTCGTTTCGGAATCATATCCTCGGGAATAATAGCTATCATTATACGCTCGTTGAAGAATATACAATTTTCCACCACTAGCAATACATTTCAATCATTTCAGTACTGTGAAACTGGGATCTGGTGGTTCATGAAATGACAAAAACAACCTTGGTAGAGAAAACACACTCCACGCCTCGGAAAGGAGTAAATAATGGTAGGTTTTATAAATATAGTGATAAAAAAATTGTAAAAGAGCTTCGATGAACCTCGTTATAATCATAGAAGGTCAATTCAAAATGCGTGCAGATGATGAAAATGGAATCGTGCATGATGTGGTCTAACAAAATTTCTGAGTCATTCGATTGGTCTTATTAACATCACGGAAAGACAATAGCTTCCTTGATATCCCTAGTAGTAGTTTAGTCTGAGAAATGGCATAAGAAAATTCATCAATACATGGCTGATTCCTAGTCTTCCTACGTTGTGTAGTAAAGTTTGAATCGTGTTGTCTGCCACCGCGGACCCGTGGTTTAAAGCGGGGGTGGACGGTCAAATCGTCGAAATTTCGATGTTGAAATTTTTATAGGACACATGGGTTACAATTATGAAAATAGCTTTTCATCATCAGGAAACGCGAAACATTTTTTTTCTTAGATTTAAAACGCGGGGATCGTTCGCTGGAAGCGCTCGAGCAACAGCGCGCTGTTGATAAATGTCTGCCTTGATTTCAGTCAGAGTATTTTTATCTACAATTTTGCATGTGGATTTTTGAATGAATTGATGTTGTAGTCAATCATTCTGGATTAATGTATGTGATAATTTTGTGTTTCAAAATCTCACGCCACTTTTGCGCCGCTCTCGATGTTTCTTTGTGATGATTAATAGCTATTTATATATCAAGGGAGCAAAGATATCGATTTCCTCCCGCGTGTGAAGTTTGATGCCCGACGCACATGGAAGGAAATGAACCTTTGCTCCCAAGATATATATATATATGATTTTATCCACGAACGCATATATTTGAGAGCGTTGTTCTTAAAATTGTGCTGCAAGTGGTCTATCTCTCGAGTCTTGATCCAAATCAGTGTGTTACATGATCTAAGGTTACAAAAGTGTATAGTATGCGCCCACAGAGTATGCCATGGCGTAAGCGTAATATATCAATCAACGGTCATGGATAATGTAGCCATCTTAGTCATGGACAATTATTGACAGCATACCTTTGACAGCATATTTGAATCTGAATGAGAATCAATTCGACACTTCTGTCATATTGAATTTGTTCATTGTAATATTGCATTTTATTTAAAGTGTCGACTTTCGATTGAGTGCATGGTTTGGAAAATGAGTGTCCATGTATGAGTGTATTGGAGTTTGTACTTGCATCTGAAAATTCAATTATCTCCAGCTGAGCTCGGAAATGAAAGGGGATGTTACGATCATTGTAGAAATTTTGGAAATGGTATTTGGAATATAAATACCTAACAAGATTGTCTGATTTGAGTAATCCCAAGGAAATCAGAGGTTCACACGATGCCTGAGATTCATAATCATATAATTCAATCATCTTTATAGGCAATTTTGTATCGAAACTTGATTTGAACTTTTAAAGTAGTAATCCGCCATGTATCGATGACAAGCTTTTTTATGTAGGCAACTCTCCGTCTAGTATAGAAGACCTTTTATTTTGTTTTTCCAAGCAACACCTCCTTACAAGGTTTGTTTCACCCCAGTTTGCGATACCTCGAATTTGTTGTTATCGATTCCACCATATTCGACTATAAGTTCTTATATAAGGACTACTCCAGATACCATCACAAAAACTGTAGGTAATCTCCACTACAGTTACTTCACTTGTTTTAATACATCAGGAATCAATAGATGATGACTATAGTCAAACAGATAACTAACTCTGCAGGATTATTCAAATTCTATGTTCGTGAGATGAAATCATTTTTAAATGGATTGATAAACTCTCGGCAATATCAAGAATGAATCTTTGAAATTTGAAATTGCCTTTATACGATGTCATCATCTGAAAGTCGAAGGAGTTGTGGTCGGAGTGTCATGGTGTAGAGAATTGTGCAGGTAACTTTTATAGCGAACATCAGAAAGAAATAGACGAGGAAGTATACTTCGGAAAATATATTTCTACTGTAATATATTGAATCATTTTATGATATGTTATGACTGAAAACTGGGTTTTGCAGGCGTCCCAAAGTTTTTACTTCGATAACGTTAGAAACTATTTAAGAAGAGAAATTTTCAGCGTCACTCCCATTTTTCATATATGTCTCTTTGAGAATATCAGCTAGTTTGTCTCCAATCATGTAGCAAATGGAATTGATATGACTAGAAGTAGAAAGAGGGATAACACTAGCATCAGCAACCCTCAGCTGTTGAACTCCATGCACTCTCAACTCCGCGTCTACAACATCACCGTTCTTGGGATTCGGTCCCATCTTGCATGTAGACACAGGGTGATTGTTGTGTGCCGAAATGTATTTGATAGCGCAATGCCAAAACTCGTCAGAGAGGAATTCGTGTTGAGTACAAGCTGGTGGCGATTTCATCTCGAATTTCGCATCAACTCTTCTGAAAGCTTTTGTATTCACGATATCCATGACCAACTTCAGGCCTTCCATGACGCTGCGTAAATCGTGATCTTCTGGATCTGAAAGAACGTTGGGGTCTATGATGGGGTATTCGTAGGGATCGTTGCTCTTTAGTCTGACTGTTCCTAAGGACTTGGTGCGCAGAGGAGTCAGGAAAATTTGAAAGGAACTGGTAGCGTTCACGCCAGCAATAGCGTCCGCCACTTCTGGTCTCCACCTCTGAGATGCTGTCAAGGCTGTGGCGGTGGCGTTGGTGTCTTGGAAACTAAGCTCTATGTTGGGATAACCTGGGATTGGTTCAATGGGTGTTTTGTAATACACTACTGCCTGGGATGGTCCAAATTCACTCAGTAGGCCTGTGCCTTCTCCTAAATACTCTTCGATGTGTTCCCTCAGTGATTGCACTGGAGCTGTCACGTTACTCGAGAAAACTAAGCCGTAAACTTGAATATGGTCCGAGAAGTGGGAGCCTACTTCTAGATCTTGAACCACGGGAATTCCTGTAAATTTCAACAATGATTGAGAAAGTGACCAATATGATGCATCTCCATCAAATTGTCATCATCGGTTGATGGATCGAAGGTGAATGAATTCGTGACAAAGATAGCAAGAGGAGAAGCAAATTTCTTTTTTCTGTGACAAGAAAAAAGTTTGGCATTTCATCTCTGTTGGCAGGTTATAAAATGTCACTTTTCATAAATTACTTTTTTCCCGTGGGAAAAAAGTGAGTACTTCTTTCCCGGATATATATCACATACTTATATATACTCTGTTAATGGCTTTTGTTGTGCTATAGTTCCGAAAAATAAGTCAATAATACCGTCTCCGAGAAAGAACTGCAAGTCCTTTTATCTTCCATTCGACTTCGCGGTTTCGTATATTACTAAACAACTACTGAATTCGCAATTTTTTAAAATCAAATCACAGAATTGAACTGACAGAAGTGACATCAGATATTTGATTACTTCAAAAGAATGATGAAGATGTCTATAAAACGCAGGTGTCCCTATATACTGTTAAAAACTTGAAATTCCACGTCGATAATTTTCAGATTTCGAAATAATGTAATATCTTCCCGATATTGATTCGTCCTTCCTTCTGTCCCAGAAAAAAATAGTGTTTTTTCTGTGACGGGAAAAAAGTTTGGCATTTCATCTCTGTTGGCAGGTTATAAAATGTCACTTTTCATAAATTACTTTTTTCCCGTGGGAAAAAAGTGAGTACTTCTTTCCCGGATATATATCACATATATATACTCTGTTAATGGCTTTTGTTGTGCTATAGTTCCGAAAAATGAGTCAATAATACCGTCTCCGAGAAAGAACTGCAAGTCCTTTTATCTTCCATTCGACTTCGCGGTTTCGTAATATATTACTAAACAACTACTGAATTCGCAATTTTTCAAAATCAAATCACAGAATTGAACTGACAGAAAGTGACATCAGATATTTGATTACTTCAAAAGAATGATAAAGATGTCTATAAAACGCAGGTGTCCCTACTGTTAAAAACTTGAAATTTCACGTCGATAATTTTCAGATTTCGAAATAATGTAATATCTTCTCAATATTGATTCGTCCTTCCTTCTGTCACAGAAAAAAATAGTGTATTATACACGGGAAAAATATTAGATTTTAGCTCACGGTTTTTTGTCTCCCTCCGCTACGCGTCGGGAGACAACACAACCTGGAGCTAAAATCTACTACTTTTTTCCCTTGTATAATAAATAACTAATTATACACGGGAAAAATATTAGATTTTAGCTCACGGTTTTTTGTCTTCCTCCGCTACGCGTCGGGAGACAACACAACCTGGGGCTAAAATCTACTACTTTTTTCCCTTGTATAATAAATAACTATTTTTCTGTGACAAGGAAAAAGTTTGGCATTTCATCTCTGTTGGCAGGTTATAAAATGTCACTTTTCATAAATCACTTTTTTCCCGTGAGATAAAAGTGAGTACTCTTTTCCCGGATATATATCACATATATATACACTGTTAATGGCTTTTGTTGTGCTATAGTTCCGAAAAATGAGTCAATAATACCGTCTCCGAGAAAGAACTGCAAGCCCCTTTATCATCCATTCAACTTCGCGGTTACGTATATTACTAAACAACCACTAAATTCGCAATTTTCTGAAATCAAATCACTGAATCAGACTGACAGTAGTGACATCAGATATTTGATAACTTCGAAAGAATGATAAAGATGCCTACAACGCAGGTGTCCCTACTGTTAAAAATTTAAAATTTCACGTCGATAATTTTCAGATTTCAAAATAATGTAATATCTTCTCAACATTGATTCGTCCTTCCTTCTGTCACAGGAAAAATAGTGTATCATACACGGGAAAAATATTAGATTTCAGCTCACGGTTTTTTGTCTCCCTCCGCGTCGGGAGACAACACAACAACCTGGAGCCGAAATCTGCTACTTTTTTCCCTTGTATAATAAATAACTACCTATTGTGAGGTCATTGTCGTTCTAGATGAGAACCTAGTTAGGTAGTTAGTGAACAGGAGGTATAATACGTCCTCGCACTAGGTCACCTACTAGGTTTTCATTCAGATCGACAATGGTGAGGTTGACGGTGACTTTCGAGGAGAATTTCCATTCCCATCACATTATTGGGAAAAATATTGAATATTTATACCAATATCTTTCTCCTGAAATGGAATGACAATGAGAATAAAACCAGTCATCTGATGTCCATTACATGATGTTTCACTATGGCTGCAGCTACATAACTCCAAATTTATTGGGGCTCATTACAGAAATCAACGGTTTATCCTAATGATTCAGTATATTTGTGGATTTTGAAGAACCAAACCATGTAGACCAGATTGGAGGTTGATCAGATAAATCACTAGGTGAATTGAGCAATTATGTTCTCATCACATTCCACTACTGTCAATTGGACAATACTGAATTTTCAGCCACTGGTGTTTGAAGTTCAAATTAGTGAATGACAAAGATTTCCGATATTGCTCCCGCGTGGTGTCATGGCATCTGTATAAAAGTCTCGTCGTTTCGCAGTGTTCAGAAACAAGAATACCCGAACAGCATCAGCACTTATAACAAGCGTCTAGCAACACCATTTCCAACGGTGACTCCCTGAATTCTCGCACGTACATGACGTCACTGACAACACATGATTTATGCAAGAGGCAGTTCTTTTTTATATATCGTTTCCTAGTAATTTCCAGAGAAATATGATTTCTAGAAGGAAGGTTCATTTAGGCCGAGTTAGGTTGAATTGTTTAGGAACAGTTATCGCCTTTCTTATCCAGAAAGGATATTCCACTTCCTATTATCACGTTATAACACGTCTTTGTAATAATTCAGAGAGCCACAGATGTCAAGTCACGATGTTCACGTTCCTGAAAACTGCAAGACGGTGAGACTTCTGTTATCTGTCATCAACACGAAATGAAATCCAAGAAAACTCATGATGTACCATATACCTGAATTTTATTCCATATGTTCTCGAGAAGAGGAACACGCAGGCAGAATCAAACGTTGAGAAAACTTATTCAAGAATGTTATAAATGAAGTTTTGCGAACCAATTTTCTGAAAATACGCAGAGACATGAACGTATTATGATTATCGGGTACCCATTAGCAACAAATGGAAGGGCAATCATATAAAAATATCAATAATACCATTTATTTGTAATTCATTGCTACAATTTCCCATTTCTCGATAGTTATTATTGTTATCAAAAGAACATTATATTTTGAAAGTAACAATTATATTCATTATGACAGTTAAGTATAAATCATTATTATTGTTTCTATAATGGAATAGCATGAACAGATAAAGAGTATTTATTCATACTGGTATGAGACTGGCTTTTCTTTAAATTGAATTATTTCATTGAAGATAACTTTCAGTATTACAAAAATTATATATTTGAGAAGAAATAAACCACTTGAATCCAATTTCTTTTTTAAATAAAATACTTTTCTGATTTCATTTAGAATTCAGAAATGTTCCTGAAATCTTTCACCATTTTTTGAAAATGATGAGATGATGAGGATAATTTGAGAGTGTCCATTGCATAATGTTCCCCCAAAAAATATGTGTTAGTCATTGAATGAAGTTGGTTTGTTGGAGTGTCAAATGGTAGACGATACAGTAGCTACTTTCAAAGTTTCATTTCAACAGAAGAGATTTTCTTGAAATTATTTGTAGAACACGATCCCCATATATTAATATAAAATTCGATTCTACTAGGGCTTGGCGAGACTAACAGTCCAGTCTTGATCTTTTCTTGGTCTTGATGCAAGTTCAAGACTTAATAAATCTTCTCAAGACCAAGACCAAGACTCGATCTCTCCCAAGAATCTTGGTACCGAAAGATAAATAATGAACTTGAATATACTCACTATTAAGAAAAATCTGATGGAAAATGTAATGACACTTCATTTCAGTTCAGTTCATTCATTTGTCATATGGTAGGTTTATAATTTTTGTTCACTCAAAATGCGAAATATATTTTGCAAATTCAGTATTGCAGTTTTGAAGTTTGAAACAAATAGGTGTATGTTGTAAGGTCACAGTGGTCCATACCTCCTCCTATTAAAGATAGAAACAAATATAATACAAAAGTTATTTGGTTTGAATTTGAAATTTTTTGAAATATTTTGATAATGCTTTGTTGCCAGTTCCGACCTTTTACAACCTTTTTTCTGGCCAGTCGGGTGTCAGCCTGATGATTGTTTGGGTCTCATTTAATGTTTATTTAAGGTTTCTAAAAATTATATTCTCATGGTCTGATCAGTCTTCGGCTCGCGAAGCCTTAGATTCTACTGAGAGTATGTGAATATAAAAATAGATTAGCTATTTTAGAATCAATTTGGGACATATTCTGAGAGCTCCAATAATATGAATTATTCCCTACCTCAATTTATCATCGATCCAAAGGCCAAGATATTTTATCTGAGAAGTTTGTTTCAATAGTGAACTTTTTTATTTTTATTTAGCTTTCAATAATTTGTTCTTCTCTTTGTTTAAAAATTATGTATTGTTATTTTCTAGCTTTGAAGAAAAAAATTTGAATCAAGCCATTCTTTATAGAATTAAAGGATTTCCAGTTGCACATGACAATATAGAACTGTATCGTCTGCGAATATAGTGTAATTACATGATTCATTGATAATTTTGTATATGTAATAAGTATAATATTCCACCTAAAACCAAATAGATTATCTTCTATAGTCTTTGCTAAAACGGACCGTTTGTTTATTACCAGTCTATCAGTTTCAACTTTATTATGCTATAGTTTTCAATTTTACACTGAATAAAACTCGCGCATAAGATGTCATCGGCTTGGAAAATTTGTTTGACGAGTATGCGCATATAAGTACAGGGTGATTCAAGTTTTGAGGCACAAACTGCAATGGGAGATAGATCTCATCATTTCAATAAAAAAAGTTCATATAAACATTAGTCCGATCTCGTTCAGTAGCGGAGCTACAGGGGGTCAAAGTTCAATAATTATGTTTTTCTACAACCGACACAAAAGTCGTCCATTTTGATACCAAAATCAGCTCTTAAATTGACGTTTCTATTACTGACACAAAAATAGGTATGTTGCTAGGCAACATATTTAGTTCTTAGGAGCTAGAGTTGAATTTTAGTTCCTAGGAGCTGAAGTTGAACTTTAGCTCCTAGGAACTAAAAAGGATGTACTGGACGTCATCAAGAATAAACAACATTGTGACGGTTGGTTATTTGGGTTGAGACGCATACCTGATTTGTTTCCGATTTCAGCAGATTTGGCATTTCATATCCATGCTGGAGATATAAATACACCTAATTATTGTTCAGTATTGGAATTATAAACATCTCAGTTAAGTATTTTTGTTTCGATCAGGGAAGCCTTCAAGATTCAAATACTTGCTGGATCTGTATTTCATTCGTTATTCTCGGGATGGATTACTTGCTTTTGAATTATCACGACAAGCAATAGTTTTTTGTCTCAAACAACGATATTGTTTACCTTCATTTGATTAACAAGCGAAAAATATTGTGTTAACCTAACATTTTCCACGTCTTGTTCCTATAGCTGGCACTGGTGCGGTATTTGCTATTAGAGCACCTGATCCATACACAAATATGTTACTCTGTGATTGTATTTATATTGAAACTACAACTCGAACATTCTTGAAAATTGAATGAACCTGCTGTTGATGCAGGTAGAATGTTCTCACTACAAGGATTATTTGTCAATATTTCTTGCATTGCATACATATGGCACGGCATTGGTGGTAACTTCACATATTTATTTGAGCTAATTGTTTCGGTTGCAGAAAAAATAGCATGTTTAATTCGGATCAAAATTGACTTTGTTCGACTCGCAAATTTTGCTTTCGCTCGGCTTCGCTAAACGCTCCGCCCCGCAAATGCAAAATTCGCTTGTCAAACAAAGTGTCACTTTTGATCCTAATAAAACAATCTACCATTTTATATCACTTGGAATATCTCGCTTACTTTGCGAGATATTATTTTGGAATTTGGTGTGGTCGATACTTCTTAGAAGATCATCATTTCTAGCCATTTTAGGATTTTCAAAATCTACAGGGTGATACGTTTTTGGGAGTAGAGGCTTCTTGGTCATCCCCAAACTTTTTCGTAGTACGTCTCTGGCATCTTTTCGTGATCAAATTGTGTCGATCCTTCAATTTGAAGGCTTTTTTTCGAGAAACGAGCCGTTTTTGGGATAAATAAGCATACACGTTCTGAAACATGTAAATTTTCCCTATGTTTCGCTTGAATTTTATTTAACTGAAAAAAAACTTTTACTTTCTACCCGCCGTATTCCTGCTACTGATCCAGATTGGACAAGTGATTGCAATTTCAGTGAGTACATTTCATTGCATTCTCAACGAATTTTGTCAAAGAATACAATTCAAGCGAAACATAGGTTAAATAAACATGTTTTAGAACGTATATGCTTCTTTATTTAAAAAACGGTACGTTTCTCGAAAAAAATTGATCGACGGAATAGCCTCTAAATTGAACGATCCACACAATCTGATCACTGAAAGATGCCAGAGACGTACTACAAAAAAGTTTGAGGGGGATTAAGAAGCCTCTACCTCAAAAAAGTATCATCCTGTAGATTTTGAAAATTTTCAAATGACTCGAAATGATGAACTCCTGGGAAATATTGACCACACCAAATTTCAAAATAATATCTTGGGAAGTAAGCGAGATATTTCAATTAATAGAAAAAAAAATATCAAACTTTGACCCCTTGTAGCTCCGCTACCGAACGAGATCGGACTAATGTTCAAATGAGCTTTTCTGATTGAAATGATGAGATCTACCTCCCATTTTAGTTTGTGCCTTGAAACCTGAATCAACCTGTATATTGTACTGAGCCGTCCTTGGAAAATTCGAAACATATACCATCATGAATCATCGCTATAACTGCAATATGCAGTATGACAAAAATAAAAACAACAGACGAGTATAGACATACGTTCTAACGAAACAAAGATCAGAATACATGCAGTGCTGACGTTGATACTTACTGCGCAGGTGCCTGAAACCAATTTCAATGCTCGCTTGTTGGACGTAAGAGTTCTACGTGCTCTCTGATTCTCTGACAGTTATGATAGGTTCATTTCTGTGAGGATGTTCGATTCACTTTTGAATCGATATCTGATTGAATTCATGAGGTTTTATCATCACTCGCAAGATAAAGGAATCATATATAATCAATATCAACAATTACCATCAGAAATATTGTTATTTCAAGAAGTGAGTTTCCTGGCGAAATCCAGAAATATTTGACGTTTGAATTTCCGTTTCATAACCTTTATCATTTTGTGTATTTGTTACTCACCTATCGACTTGAGATGCTCAGCAGGACCAATTCCTGATAGCATCAAGAGCTGAGGAGAATTGATAGTCCCAGCACAAACTATGACCTCCTTATTCGCTTTAACTCTATACTGAATGCCATTTCTAACAAAAATGACACCCTCTGCCTTAGTTCCATTCATGATTATTTTGGTAACCAAGCTCTTCGTTAGTACCTTCAAATTCTTTCTCTTTAATGCTGGGAGCAAAAAGGCCGTACCACTGTCTTGCCTCCTCCCGAACTTGGTATTGACTTGAAAAGGCATCACTCCAGTTTGGTTGTAACCATTCATGTCTGTGAGATTGCTTCCGAGTTCCATGTTAGCATCGATGAAGACCTTGAATCATATACAATTACTGTTTCATTCATAATGAAGTTATTCGATAAATGGAGCAATCAAGAAATGGGTAGGTGAACTATTTTTTCATTGTTTCATTCAAAATCAACCAATCGTTGAAATGTAAATGACGTTATAATATTAAACATGATATTGATAATTATCCAAAGAAATTAACCAACGTCAGCATCCTCACAATAGATGTTCTTCAAACTCCTGCCTCACTTTATGAAATGGATTGAATCATATATAACCTCTGCGACACATTTTTCAAACGGAACACTCTATATATAGTATAACATTTTTGTAATCTCTATGAGGAAATGGATTCACAATTATATCACACATGTGGTTTGTATACAGGACATCCATTATTAAATTCAGCGCTCTCGCGTAAACTGAAATCGCCATTAGAAAAATACTGATGACGTAATTCTCCAACACGACAAATCATTCTGTATGAATGAATGAATGAATTTATTACGTTCCGAAAAACATAAAAATGTCATCTAGGAACACCTCTGTTACTAGTTACAAGTCAGTTTCACATATTACATAATATTTGACACAATAATTAAATTATTGATTAAAACCTGTTATCAATTTAGTGAATATACCGTAGTTGGTACAATAGTAATATATGGGTAACCTTTTCCACTGAAATATAATATATGCTATATACAAGTATCTAATTGTTTTCCTTTCTAATCCAAACTCCTAATCTCCTAATGCTAGCTGTACAAATCATAAATCATAACTTAAGTGGAATGTGAGACTTCAACAAATATTTGAATTTTTTTACACTTTCTTTTCTTATATTTAGTGGTATTTTGTTGTACTCTGTTGCTCCTTTATAGAATATTGAACTGATTCCATAGTTTGTCATTACTCTTGGGACTTGAAAATTTCTACAGTTTCGAGTATTATATCTTTGAATTTCCTCTCTAGTTTGGAATGTAATTTGTGAATGTCTATAGCACTATTTACTATCTGATGTATAAATACATTCACTTGAAAAGTATATAAGCTTCCCAGTGATCTATAATATTGTAATTCTCATAAAGATTCAAAGTTGAATCTTAATGGCAGATTATATAAGTTTCTAATTGATTTGTTTTGCAGGATTCTAAGTGGTTTTAAATAACTCTCATATGTATTACTCCAAATTATTGTCAGATATTACAAATGTGAATGTATTAGGGAAAAGTAGGTACACATATCTCAGAATGTAACTTGGGACAGTGTAGCTTAATCTTCTCAGAATACCCACTGGCCCAACAATTTTTTTCCTAATATATTCTAGATGTGCTTGCCAGGAGAGTTTTGTATCAATTATCAGTCCCAAGAACTTAATTTCATTTTTATATTGAAGTGATCCACTTTGACAAGTTATTTCATTCTTAACATAATCAGGTACAGTGCTTGTGGTTATCCACATAAAAGATGATTTTTTAATATTCAATGTAAGTTTGTGGCAGAGTAGCCATTTCGTCAGCTGTGATAAGTCTTGTTTGATATTCTCGATAACTGTGCTATGAGTTTCACCGAAATATGCAATTGTGGTATCATCAGCATATAGTATAACATCTCCAATGATTTCCAAGTTTGCTATGGAATTTATGTATATTAAGAAGAGAGTGGGGCCCAGGATCGAGCCATGTGGTACACCACATTTCAAATTTTTGTAGTCACTTTTACATTCTTTCAGATAAGTAAATTGCATTCTATTGGTTAAGTAGTTCTGAAACCAGCTGCTACAGTGACCCTGGACACCAATCAACTCCATTTTTTTCATCAGGATTTCATAGTTCACCGTATCAAATGCCTTACACAGATCAAGGGATACAAGAGCACATTTTAGTTTCTCGTCAATTTTCATCTGTAATTTTGATATAAGGTCTACAACTGCACTACTAGTATCGCTCGATCTGCGAAAGCCATATTGGGAGGGTGTCAAAATCTTATTCATATCTAGGTATTTCAAGAGTTGGTTATTAACAATTTTTTCAATGATTTTGGACAGAATAGGAAGAACAGAGACAGGGCGGTAATTGTTCACATCTTCTTGGTCACCAGCTTTGAACAATGGAGACACCTTTGCAATTTTCATTTTGTCCGGAACTAACCCGCATTTAAGTGATTGATTAACTAATTTGCACATAATCCCTTTCAGCTCATCTTTGCACCCTTTAATGGTTTTAGTGTCGATATCATCATATCCAGATGCTTTTGGAATCTGCAGCTCATTAATGATTTCTTCAATGTCCCTTGGTTGTACATGTGTGAATTTAAATTTTGCTCCACATGTTCTTTCACTTGTCATATTAATGCTGTGGTCTGGAATTGATGATGCTAGGTTAACACCCACGTCAGTGAAAAAATTGTTGAAGATCTGGCACATTTCATGTGGATTAGAAATGCTTGCTCCTGCAGAAGTTTTCAGAGATGGTATGGAGTTTGTTGATTCCAAACAGCTGTTTTTTAGAATCTGATTTACTACTTTCCATGTTTTCCTTGGGTCCCCTTTTGTACCATCAATTTTTTCTTCATAGAACTTCTTTTTTGCGGCTCTTATTTCCCTTTTCAATGCCTTCTTTGCCTCTTGGTGAAGATTTTCTAGGTAATCATTATCTGCATCATTTTTCAGTTTTTTGTAATAATAATCTTGTCGTTTTATCATTGACAATACTTTCATTGTGAACCATGGCTTAGTGTGAGCTCTGAATCTGCATTTCTTGTAAGTGGTATTCATATTGAAACACTGAACAATTTTTTCATAGTTGTCATTTATAGATTCCTTATCTGTATAAGTTTTGTCAAGTTCCAGTAGATCCAGTTTCAATTTGTCTACATCAATTTCCTTTTTTATGTAAAATGGTTTCAGTGATTCTTTGTTGCATTGAATACTAGTTTGCAAGATCTGTATTTCGTGATCACTAATGTTGTTGCTTACAATAGATAGCTCCATGATGTCATCAACTTTCTGGCTAATCAGGCAATGATCAATAAGGCTTTCTGAGTGATTTGTGATTCTAGTGGGTGACAATTCATTGAGTATAGTAAATCCGTTACTGAGACAGATATCTTTATAGTTCTCTATCTCTCTGGACTTTTTCAAAATGTTGAGATTAGTGTCTCCCATCAGAATCACATTTTTGTTGGTTAGATTTGACAACTGTTGTTCTAAAAACTGCAAGAAATCTCCATTATTTCCATCTGGTGGGTTGTATATGGCTCCAATATATTTGTCAAATTTCTTTAAGTGTATTACCACATATGACCACAGTTCATTCTTATTTGATTTATTTATGATATTGAATTGTAAAGAGTTTTTAATATATATCGCAGAGCCACCACCAGACTTTAGCCTACTTGAGAAAACTGCTTCAAATCCTGGTAAATTATAGAACTGCTGCTCTTCTTCTAGTACCCATGTCTCAGAAATTACTAGTATGTTGATGTGTTTGATTTCCTCTAATAATATTTCAGCTCTGTCCAATTTGTTTTTGATAGATCTTGCATTCAGGTACATAATCTTAAGGCTAGACGAATCAGTAGAATTTTCATTAAGGTCACAGCTATAGCTGCTAATGTCTTCAAATGTTTTCACGGCCATTATTTGGGATATAAATTTTTAGAGACTGTGTTTTCTCACTGTACTATTAATAGGTATCACATTAGTCTGATTTCAGTAGCTCTTCTACCTGACTAATACTAACTATTCTGATTGCCCTTTCCTCTTCTGACTTACAGCAATATATTTGTGTATTTTTTATCCAGACAAATTTATACCCTTTTTCACTTTTCAATTTTCTTGTCTTGTTGAACAAGGTTCTTGTTTCTCTGGGCAAATCTTCATTTATATAGATAATTCTAGTTGGTCCATCTATATTGCAATCAGTTGAGGTAATTTTTTGTTGCTTATGTTTCTCCATATGTTTCAATCGAATCCGAATTGAAGCTTGAATGAACATAAAATTCTACGGCTTCGTGCGTTCTTTCCGAAGCACTTAATTCCACGAACGCACTGTATACAAACTCTATGTGGAATCAACTTTCGAATCCTGCTTCCCAAAGAGATTAAAGAAATCTGATAATGGCAATCATCCTGTACATTACATTTTTGCTTATAAATGTTGGTACTTCATTGAAAATGGAAATCAACCTATTTCACGAGACTCCTCAGAAAGGAATAGTATTGCTATAAGTTAATGTATCCTCTACTTCATGCACTCAATTTAACGGGCACACTGTATAAAAACCCCACGAGTAATTTCTTTTTGAATTCAGATGTTAATGGATATTTTGAAAATTGAATGATATATAGGGTGTTCTAACTGAAGAAATTGCCGTGGACGTCTTAACTCTTACGTATATCACCCTGTATATCTGATTTCTACTCATGAATGTGGCAAATTGAAGAAAAAGATCGACATTTTTCAGGAGATTTGCCAGAAATGGAAAGTTTGACTTGAAATTAAGTTATTCAGCTTACATCTAGCCGACGGTCGCTACATAATTTCAGATACAAATATGAGTAGCTAACGATATTATCATATAGAAATGCGCAGGTGGTATATTGATAGCACTCAGATTAATCATATACGAGCAGGAGGTTCTTGTTTTAGTTATTTTATTTTCCTCCACCCCCCTATAAACCACCCACCACTGATAGCGACAGATCAGCTCCCCCACCCACTTGGGTAACCTCAGAGAGATCACCTATATTAAGGGTTTGGCTCCAGGAGATAGGCCTCTGAGACTAACACTTCACAAATACACTCACATTCCCTGGCTAACACCATCACGCGGAGGACTCATCACAGAGCTCTGAGCCCTAGCAAGATGTTGCTTTCTGAAATTTGATTGTAAATTTGTGCTGTAATGTTATATGTGTAAACAATAAGAGTCTCTGATTCTCAGATTAATCAGGACTGTCCGGAGGACCATCGACTAAGTCAGCACAAGGTATAGCTACAAATTAATTCCATCAAAGATTTGTACTGTATTATTAGGTACCTATAATACCGTATATTATATACCAATCAATTTTTCCATTTCGTCCTTTATTTAGGTCATATTAGACGTCATTATGACGTTTTATGGCTGTGACATGTTGACGTCAATATGGGGTCTCTCAGACGTTATTTCATGAAAAATTACGACAATAATTGCCCAGTAAACACAAACTCGTTGATGAAACGTTGAATAACGGTTGGAATCCTGGGAATAACGTTAGTGGTTGAAAACCTCAACGTTGAAATATGGTTGGAGATGACCGGGAAATAAAAGCGTTATTTAGACGTTTTATCCCCAACAATTCATCACTTCCTGTTCATTTACAACCACAACCACTATTAAACGTTGAAATAAAGATACCTACTTTCATGCAACAACACGTCATTCTATCTCAATGAAATGACACATTCACAATCTACGGTTGAATGATTGCTAGAAATAACCTGTTTATAACGTTAGAAAACTGATAGATTCGAATAACAAATTCCTGTTCACTTCAACGTTTTAAATTCACATATTTATAACTTTTGAGTTACTTGATACTTCATTTGATCTTGTACTAGTAATGTTGATGAAACGTAGGAAATTACTCAATTGAAAACGTCTATTATTATGTGAAAAAGATTATTCATTGATATTCGGATGCTTCGAACGATTATCAGACGTTAATGTCAGTATTTTATATAAATCAGGAAATACTGTTTCAATAACTGGTTATTCATCGACTTTGAGACGAATGGTCCTACGTTTGAGATATTGAAACTACCAATTATGTACAGGGTGGCTGGAATTAGAGCCTCATCATTGGGATCTCGTGAACTATAAGAGGTGCAGTGTCGGTTGAATCTTGGCAAAACTGTGCAATTTAATGCTTGACAAAATTCCGAATTGAAACATGGATGATTCCGAAAATTCGGAGATTCAAGACCTCCATTATTTTCAATTTATTCGAAAAAATTATTCTTTATCAGAGAAACGTCTTCCTCCCTACCAGTTGGCGATTTCAAATTCGAAATCTGACGTTTCGTCTTCCAGAAACCATCATCAACTCTTTTTTTTTTAGATACGGACTTGGATTTTATTTCAATTTTTGTTACTTCTGGATAAGCCAAAGCTAGGAGCTATCACAAATCCCAATTTTCAAATGTTTCGACAAATAAATCACAGTTTCCTATTTTTGTAAACGAAATTATCGAAAATTGGAATTTGTGATAGCTTAGGGGCTATCCAATGGTTAGAGAAAATGAAATCACTGTATATCACTTAAAATTGTAATTCATATGAAAATGGCGTATGTTCGATTGACATTTTCCACTTCCTTCTATTGACATTAAAAAGAATGACTTCACCCCCTAAGAAACCGAAAGTTTGAAAATGCTGAAAATCTTCAAGTCGAATTTCCCATTTTCCCTCCACATTTTGCACAAATTTTCAAATTCATGAGTATAAGAACCGTGCTGTCATTTTAAAACGTGTATTTCACATGGTAGACTACTTCTCATTGATTCGGCAAAGTTCTCACGGTGAACTAACGTTTATTCGAAACGTTTATTGAACTGTTGAAATGAACGTTGATCGAACGTTTTATTGAGAGTATTTGATAACCGTTGAAGAAAAAAACGTGAATCATATGTTTTCCAACAACGTTAGTTGATGTTCATTCAATCCGTTTACATCTCGCCGACGCTAACACCAAGAGTTTAGGTACAAATACGAGTAGTCGAGCATATTAAAATAGGGATACGTAGAGATGGGCACTAAAAAAAAAAGTGGAACAGCTGAGGAAAGGAAATGCATGGACAACATAGGCAGGTAAGTTAGGTATAATAATAATCATAGTTATTATGAGAATGTTGATGAAATAGTTGTAGACACAAAAATAACGAAGAATAATCTGAAAGAAACGTTGCAGGAACGTTCGAAAAACCAAAAATTCGACGATTGAATATTGACCCAAAGTGACCGTTGAAATATATATTTTCATCAACTTGTTTAAACGTTGATCTGTCACGTTTATTTTCCGTGAAAAATTTCGTTGAGGACTGGGCAGTTTCCACCGGTTTCAAACGGATATTTAGGTTTGAATTAGTAGTTGAAAATACATTTTTGCACTAGTGCGTTGATTCAACGTTGTCAAACGATTCCATTAAACGTTATTTCAACCAACCGTTATGGTAATTTCACTACGTTATTTCGACGTGAGTGTGTTTACTGGGTGGACATCATTCTGCTACATGGATGTTTCACTTACTGCAGTGAGTTTACTCTTTGGCACAGGTTGTTGCACCTTCAATGGCCCACCGCAAGAATGGTAGTCGTAGTCGATAGGCGCTTCAGGGTCCGTCGCGTGAATGTCTTCGGATCTCTTGAACAGTGGCAGGACGTCTTCGTAACACCATCCGGGATTGCCCAACTGGCACCACTGATCGAAGTCGATCTTGTTGCCTCGGAGGTATATGAGGGCGTTTATTAGAGCAGTTCCTCCGACTCCTTTGCCTCTAGGGTGAGCGCAACGGTTTTCTTCAAACCCTGAAAAAAATATTCTGGATATTCAGGTAATTACATCTGGAGATGGGAGTTGTTAAGATATGTTGGCTCTATCTATACCAAATTGATCACAACTATTTTTTTATAGAGGTCCTTTCTAGCCAGTTGCGACAATCGCATCATCATAACACTAATTGAAGATCATGATAGTAGATATACGTATCAAGTGTCATAATCGTACTTCTGATAATCATATTATTCTTTCATGTTCCGAGCAAATGATTAGCGTTCCATGTCAATTGTTATTTTTGATAATGATATTACTGGATAGTAGTTGTAACAATCGCAAAAGGCAGATTTTCCACAAAGATACATAATATTAATAATGAAGGATTCAATCAGGAGAATACATTGTTTCAGGAGGTGAATGACTGCTTTCGATAAAGATAAAGGGGACTTTGCTCCAAATTGCCAACCTTGAAAACCCCGATACCATTGTAGAAGCAATATTATGGAAGTTTGATTACTCAAATAGCTTCATTTTGGTGAAATCTGATTTTGGGAGTGTACTAAGCTTTCTAATGAAAGTTATTCAGATGGAAAATAAGTTTTTGTGAAATTCACATCTGACTTGTTGAAAATCATATTGGTACATCTGTGGTACGTCAATACTGAAATGTATAAACTCTTTCCATATTGTCAGTGGTATCACGAGTGAAAAATGGTATATCAATGAATCACTAAATACTAAATCAGTAAGTTAAAATCCCGTTAGAACTTCGAATAATGATCAAGAAACTCTCAAGTCCTTTTTGATATTGTTCACGTTCTATCACGATGTTACCAGAGTTGCCAGCGCAAGAGATGTCGATAAATTTCAGGACCTTCAAGGTAGATATCGCTGGATATCTTCCAGAAGTCAGACATACATACACTATAATCAATGATACTGGATCTGGAGTTTAGTAGAATCGATCAATATTAATATAATGAATTTTTGTTTGTTCAATTTGTTCTGTGGAAATATGTCTATTTTTTCTGTTTGGTGAAAATAAGTATTTATACATACCTAAGCAAGAGTTATTCTGAGGAACACTGTAGTAACCCCAGTTGTAGTCGCTCATCACGGTAGCCTCGTATGCCATTTTGGTGATCGTGTTGAATTCGCTGTTGAATTCTCCGGCTTCCAGAACGAGAACTTTCCATTGCTCTACTTCTGATAAGCGACTTGCCACAGTTGAACCCGTAGAACCAGATCCAACAACAATGAAATCGTAAGTTTCATAGTCTGAGAATCATAAACAATTCAGATGAAAATCATAGACCATCTCAAATTATCAGGTAATTTTTTGAAACACAAAATGATTACGAATAGGTAGTAGTTGTTTTATGCAAGAAGGAAACTGGAAAGTGTCCTTTTTCTAAATCACGCAGTCACATAAGTGTCACTATAGTGTCAGTATTCGTCGTGAAGAATAATATCCATTGACTAGCATATCAAAGAGGTGTGAAATCAATGATGATCGTTGTTGAATATCGAAGGATGCAATACACGCGCTGACGTCGCCTTGAGCATGAGATATGGAGTTTGTGAAACCTCTCACGATATCAAGACTATGACTTTTTAGACCATTTGTGTTTGATCAACTTGGAGAAGATGATATTTTTCTTCTATGTTCAGGTAGTGCGATGAACAGAAATAAGTTAGCCATGTAGCGGTCGAATTAGAAAAACCCCACGGTAAGTCCTGTCTGTCGTAGAAGACGACTAAAAGGACGCCAACAACTCAACATACTCGACCGTGTTTCAGTAGCTGGTTGATGATTCCGGCCAACCCAACGTGATCCAATTTCCTTCTCCTTCCACGCCAATCTCCTTTTTCGATACAGAAAAAGCGATGATAAGTTCTCCACAAGTGAAATTATCCGGAAGTAAAATACCTCTCCATTCGAATTTCCGGGCGAAAGATGCTAGAGGGGGTTCACCATTGGCTGAAAAAGTCCTTAAGATATACCTATGTTACATCTGCGGTCTGAGCAAGAGCATTTAAGATTCCCATCGTCATCTTCAGACTGAAAAGCCAGACATATTGGCCCTGACTGTGACACAGGTCAATTCATCCACCAATACGACCTGTATGCTCTGTCCCGGATACGAATTCTACACATACTTCAGGTCTCTGTCTCTATTCTAAAACAAATCTCTCATATCATTGAGAAAAAACGTTGGTTGGAACCAAATGAGTTTAATGTTATGTGGTTCAAACTCGTTAGCCTGAAACAAACCAAATATCTTTGTTGTCTCTGATAATCACCAAATGATCCACCCTTTGGAAAGCTTTTCAAGTTCTTGTCCTTGGAGCAGTAGCAGAAATCATCATCATGGGCGACTATAATGTACACCCCAATGAAACGGGTGATGTTGGGCGACAAGCCGGAGCTTCCGCTATCACTCACGTTCTGGAGTAACTGATCAAGGAACTTTGGCGAATTCCTGATGTCAACGATCATTCAGCCAACACACTCGACTTATTCCTCACTAATGATTCAGCACCTTACGCCATAGATGAATGAGCACTACTTGGCGCTTCTGATCAAACACTCATCTCCACAACCTGCCCATTCTTCAATCCATCAACTGATACAGAATCTTTACGTCTTGAGTGGCATTATAACTCAGGAGACCTGATCGTCTCCACATGGTTTTCTCTGAGTTTCCTTGGCAGAGAACATGCTTTGATTCTGAGGATCCTCCACATTCATACTTCATTCTTTGAAAAGACCATCAGCTTCGGAACCCTGGTTCAACAAGAACTGTTCGATTCAGAGTTGTTGCCTCGAAAAAAACAGTATACCATTGCTGGCGCAAGAATCCTAACGTGATTGCAGCAGAATATGTTGAAGCAAGTAATAACTGCAGCCAAACAATAGATGTCATGATACAATGCCAGAGTAAGATCAGATCTCATAGATCATCCCAATGGCTCCCGTTCGTTTTGGTCCCTCGCTAAAGAAGTCGCAAGGAATTTCGCTGATAATTCATTCCCACCACTCTCCAAAGATGACGGCACATTAGCAACAACATCGCAAGAGAAAGCGAACATTTTTGCAGAGATGTTCACAACAAACTCTACCTTCGATTGCCAGTCGAATGCCGGAAATTGTCTTTCGTCAACGCACTATCAGACGAATAAGGACAATGGTCCTGATGGAACCATACCCATCATTCTGAAGAAGTGTGCATCAGAATTGACACCCATTCTCTGCAAGCTATTTATCATCTCCTACAAGTTGGGTATTGTTTCATCTTGCTTGAAAATAGCTAGAATCCAACTAATCCACAAAAACCTGAATAAAAGCCTGCCCAACAACTGGAAGCCCATTTTCCTGTTATCAGTGATCTCCAAAGTGATGGATAAAACCATCAATATTGAGCTCATTTAATATCTAGAACGCTCAGGATTCATTAACGACAGACAATATGGCTTTCGCTGATTTCGCCATTTTGCCGATGTCACCCATAAATGACAAGCTTCATCAAAAAAACATGGGGAATCTCTAGCAGTAGCGTTTAATATATCGAAGGCATTCGACCGTAATTGGCACCAAGGACTGCTCCAAAAACTACCATCATATGGCTTACCACCTCAGCTATGCCGTCTTTTGTCGAGTTTCAGTCCGGGCAGATCGCTCCATGTGGTGGTTGACGAGGTATCGTCTGATACCATTGTCATCAATCCCGGCGTTCCACAAGGATCGATTTTGGCACTCTTCTAGAATTTCTATTCCTTCTCAGGAAACTAAGAACTTACGACGAAGGTAAGCCAACGATGTCGATGGAGATCTCGCGGAGAGAGACAGACTGAGGAACCAACAGCTTAGTTGAATTCAACGCCACCAAAACTGAAGCCTGTATATTTTCTCTAGAAAGGCGGAACTCAGTATGCCTGATATAACAGGGTCTGGTGCCACCATTACCTCCAAGACCACTCGGTATTACCCTCAGCAATACTCTTTGATGGGAAAATAATGTCCGATCCATCGTAAAAGCTGCTTCACGAAAACTCGGATTCTGGTTTCGTCCAAAAATCTACTCCACACCTCAACAGCTTCTGATGATATACAAAGCAGGCATATACGGCCAGTTTCAGAACACTTTTTTTTTCGTGGGGATCAGCACTCAAACACACGCTGGTACTTTTAAATCCATCCATAAAAGAGCCATTCGCCTGGTGGGTGATGCCACACTCACTCACTCTCTGACCGTTGAAAAGTCGGCAACCTTTCACTTTTCTATAGATACTTCCACGGGAGATGTGAAAGATTCCATCACTATATTAATACCAGTCAGACGAACTCGGCAGGCCTAGTGAGCACTTGCCTTCGTCGTTGACCTTGAAAAATTTCGAACAACACTCTACCAAAACTCGTTCGTCTATAGAACGGCGAAGCTATAGAATTTTTTGCCATTGGAAGTATTCCCAAGAACTTATAACCTACAATAGTAACACCTACGTCCTCTATCTATCCTCCCTAGATACGCACGGTGTTCCACGATCCCTATAGGAATTTCCCTTCGTGCGCTCCAAGCGATAAACAAATAAAACAACCAATAGAACAAATTCAACTCTTCAGGTCGAGTTAACACTTACGAACAGAACCATTGAGACTAAGATTAAACAATTTCATAAATAGATATGTATAGGTGATCACCCTTCATAATAGGGATATATCCAGGTAAAACGAACACTGACAGCTGGCAAGACCTCCCAATTTACCCTTCTTCTACTTCTAACTTCTAACAACCTGTCATTGATTTCAATTGCATTGTTTCAAAATGATTTATTGGATCGAACCTTCATTCCACAATACATTTATGACATATTTATGAACAATGGTTAGTACATTTATCTTTATTTTATGTATTATAATGAATCCAAGTGAACGTCGTTATATTTATAGAAATATGACACAATATCATGTTGATTCAACGAATCCCTTTGATTTGATTGTGTGATTGAATAATGCAACTAAATCGACATTGTTGTTTTGTGATATAAAGTTAGTGATTCATCAGGAGGATTCATCTTATTTGACGGTTATTCAAATTATCCATATTATCAATTACATCATATGTTCTTTGTCAATCAAATGGTGATTAAAATAAGTCAAGAGTCTAAAATTCATAAAAAATGTACTCTCTTTCGAATTGTATAGCTCTAACGGTTTTTGCGTTTTCGCTCCTGAAGAGCCCCAGGTAGCAGAGTGACGTCCAATTGACGTCATTTTTTGGTCATAAGATGACGAAGAGGACGTCCAAAAATGACGTCTGAGAGACCCTATAATGACGTCAAAATGTCACAGCCATATGACGTCGTACTTAAACGTCATAATGACGTCGCAGAATGACCAATAAAGGACGAATTGAAAAAAATTAGGAGGTTTATATATATACGGTATTATTGGTACATGCCAATTAATACACCACAAACCTTTGCTGACATTCATTTTGTAGCTATACGTTGTGGTAGTAACTTGGTTGATGGTCCTCCCGGGCAGTCCTGTTGAATCCTAGCGCTATCGCTACTACCTATGAATCTCTATATGACAATATCGTTAGCTACTCGTATTTGTATCTAAAATTATGTAGCGAACGTCGGCGAGATGTAAGCTGAATAAACTTATTTTTAGCTAAACTATCCATTTCTGAGAAATCCTCTGCAGCAGGTCGATTTTATTTCCGATTTGCCACATTTGAAAGTAAGAATCATATATATACAGGGTGATCCACGTTTGAGTTAAGACGTCCGCGGCAATTTTTTCAATAATTGGAAACAATAATAACTTATATATATTAGATACATTCAATTTTTGGAATATTCATGGAAATTTGAATTTAAAAATATATTACACATAGGGTTTGTATACAGTGTGTCCGTTAAATTGAGTCATGTCGCGTGAAGTAAATAAAGTAGCCAATCAATGTATTTATAACCATACAATTCCTTGCTGAGGAATCTCCAAAAATAGGTCGATTTTCATTTCAAATTACCAACATTATTGAGAAAAAATTGAATATACAGGGTGATTCAAGTTTGAGTTACAACGTCCGCGACCATTTTTTCAAAGGAACACCCTATAAATTATTCGATTTTTGGAGTCTCTATGGAAAGCTGGATTCAAAAATATATGAGTTTGTATACAGTGCATTCGTTGAATTAAGTTCTTTTGCAAAGTTGCGAATAAATTTGTTGAAAATTAAAAAAATATTTTTTTTTCCAGAGAATAATGCTCGAAGCCGTAGAATTTCATTTTCATTCAAGCTTTATCTCATATTAAATCAATATATACAGAATGATTCGTGTAGGAAAAATTACGTCATCTTTATATTTTAATGGCGATCCAATTTAACGAGAGAACTGAATTTAACAAACGCCCTGTATACAAACCCTCTGTGTGATATACATTTGATTACGAAAATTCAATAATATATTATGTCTGTTTGAAAAATGCGTCGTGTACGTCATAATACAAACGTGCATCATCCTGTATATTTGATGATTCCTCCGTATAAATGTCGAATTAGAAATAAAAGCCTCTCCTGTTTTCTCAGAAATACATAAGATTGATAGATATTGGATAATAATGAATTTATCCACTACTTCACGAGAGCATCTAATTTATTGGACGCACTTACCTATACAATCCACATGATTGTGTTAAACATTTTCGAATTCCGCTTCCCATGGTTATTACAAAGATTGAGTAATATATATAAGGTGCTCTATTTAAAAAAAATGTCGTTATGGTCATAACTCAAACGTGAATCACCATGTATGTATATTCAATTTTTCTCATAAATATATGGCAAATTGAAAATGAAAATCGACCGTTTTCAGCAGATTCCTCAAAAATGCACAATTGGGCTGAAAATAAATTTGTTCATCAGTACTCACGAAAACACTGTATATACAAACACAAATTTAGTACGTACAATTAACAAACGATGAAAAAGTAAGAAAGCGACTGATTTTTCTTATTTGGTCGAATATACGACTTTGTAGGGACGTCATTAAGAATACTGTCTGTAGGTTAATCGAGGAGGTGGTACATTCATTTTACTTGGTTCTTTGGGATTTTCTCTCCTCGTTTCTATAAAATAAAAGTATTCGTATTATTTCAATATATTTGTAGAGGGACAAATCAGATGATTTGCCCCAAAATGTCACTGCGTTTAACAAATTTTTCTATCAGGGAGTCTAAAAGAAAAATCCAGTAGCTTGTCAGTGACAATTTGTTTGAAAAAATTTTTGAAGGAAAGAAATATAGATATATTGAAAAAATATCGAATTTGTACTTATCTTTGGACGTTTCGGGACCGATTCTGCTCCCGTTCTCAACATGTAAATGGAAATTATATTTCTTTGAAATTTTTGCTGTAACTCATTTGTAGACTAAAATCACTCATTCATATGCCAACATCAGTATGACATTGAAAAGTGTCAAACTATACGCAGCAAAAATTTCAAAGAAAAATAATTTGCATTTACATGTTGAGAACGGGAGCAGAATCGGTCCCGAAACGTCCAAAGATAAGTACAAATTCGATATTTTTTCAATATATCTATATTTCTTTCCTTCAAAAATTTTTTCAAACAAATTGTCACTGACAAGCTACTGGATTTTTCTTTTAGACTCCCTGATAGAAAAATTTGTTAAACGCAGTGACATTTTGGGGCAAATCATCTGATTTGTCCCTCTACAAATATATTGAAATATTACGAATACTTTTATTTTATAGAAACGAGGAGAGAAAATCCCAAAGAACCAAGTAAAATGAACGTCATTAAGACGTCCAATATTGAACGTCAATAAGACGTCATGAAATATGACGTCATTTTTTGGTCCCACTGAAGTCGAGGACGTCATTGACCAATAATGACCTGAAAAAGACGTCATTATGACGTTATTCCACTAACCTGTGCTACCTGGGAGGTTTATGTTTCACTCATAAATTGTTTATTATTTCAAATTATAAAGTTAGCGATGTGAAAGTGGGAAAAAAGCAATAATCAATAATGACCATCACTCACAACACCAACATGGATGAAACAGAATTTCAAAGTGAAATTGACCAAATTTATGGAGAGGTTTGAAATATAATGTTTTCCCGCAACATATTTTCAAGGCATATTGTGCTAAATCTTCATATTTTGGTGTTTATAATCTGTATTTCAGAGATTGCCCATTCTTAATGAATCACTCAATACTATTCTATAATAATCAAAGTAATTACTTGGAGTTTTCATTTTTGAATTCTGTTGATCAGTGGTGTACTTACGGGCTTCTTTTCTTTTCTTCATACTTTATCTTAGGTAGGTGAAATGTCTAATTGGTATATCCTGAGATATTTGCGAAGAACATGGAAGAACTGAAGGTATAGACGGATTACGTGGTTAAGAACAAAAAAAATGGAATGCTGTATTAGGTTCACATATTCAACCACTAGTAAGTATCTCGAACAGGTTGGAATTTAAGTCATAATTCAATAAAAAACTGTTCACTGTGAAATAACGTGTGAAATAAGAAGTAAGTTTATCGATCTACTTCTAAAATCAAGGCCCATGCTATGTTTTCAATGATCCCACTATTCAAAAATATTCAAAAGACTAGGAAATTTTATGATAACTCGTGAAACATCAGCGTTATAGAGTGATGGCAAGAAACAAATTGGGTCTACTCAATATTATATTACATCATATCGGTTACTTTTACCATTGATTGATATCTCAGCGTAAGCGTGATATATCCCAGTTTCCCAGAACTTCCGGTGTAAAAATTTTGATGAAAAGTGAAAAATTCGGAATCAGCGTCTCGAAAAACATAAGGTAGGCTTATGAAACTAAATCTCACTATTTGTTCCAGGTAATAACCTCTCTATTGCCTTATTGGGCCGTAATCACTATTCGAAAAGGAGTGTAATTTCAAACTGGTGAAAATACCTCTTTCAACTGGATATTAAACATTCGGAATTCTGATGAAAATACCTTGAAAATAAATTGAAATCATATTTTGATTTTATGCAACCCTCAAACGTACTACAAACATTTTTAATGAAGGGCAAATAGGTAACTTTGTTATGATTGGAAATACAACATGTTCAAATTATCATGGTGATGTGAACAATTTTGTAACTTCAATAATAAAAGAGTTGCCAATATGGATGCAGACACTCATTTTCTTGTAGGTATCTTTCTCAAAATGAACAATCATTCATTCAAATGTCATTATAAGAACAAATCTGTTACCTACCCACAATGTATCTGATAGATGTTTGCAATGTTACTTCAATTACGATCAACCTAATATGTCAGATATATAAAGGACACATTCAAGGAGGTGACAATTTGACAGATATATCAACTGTATACGAATAAAATGTCTGGATCATCAGATGAAAACAGAAAAATGTGGTCGTTATGTATCAGACATGTATTCGTGTTTGCTGGGACGCTGGATATCTCTATCAATCAGCTCTCCAATGAAGGGTCACAAACAATAGGCTTTTGAAGAAACATGTTGGGACTAATTTCAGCTACTCCTGGAGGATTAGATTCTTCATGTTGATCGCAAAAAGTAGATAGGTAATGAAATAAAGCGTTCACGTGTCTCGTGAATTTTTAGAAAAATCATTTGCCTCCTTGATAGCGAATTTATTTCAGTCGAAGTCACCATCCGGTATACCTTTTATATCCTATTCACTATGCAGATAACAATTCACTGAAGATATAGGTATACTTACTGTAAAACTAGAGGAGGAGATTTGAAGAAAACTTACCAAATGTAATATTAGGCATTGTTGGCTTATACGATCTGGAGTCTGTTGGCAAAACGTAATTCAAAGATGCTGATAAACCATCATTGATGAGTTGTTCATAGTGTTCCACATCCATTTCGGTATAAGACGTAGACAAACTGATACAAGACAGAAATATAAAGTAACTAGTATGAAAAAGCATGTTTCCAACTTTGATAAATCAATCCAACTATAATATGTAACTGTACACCTATGAGTATTTTTTTCTACTCAGCAGCATGAAAATTTGGTTCCTCCTATATACCAATTGGCTGATCTCTATTATTTCCGTCAACAGATAACACCTTTCGTTATCTTGATATATGAATTAGTGCAATAAGTAGTAAACCATAAGTTACCAATATCTATCTGTACATGGTGAAGTAGAAACATGAATGTAACATGATGATATTTAGGATACCGAAAAAACTAATGCATTATGCTCGCAGAAATCGATACTAGGGAACTATTATTAGAGTGCCTAGAAGATCTGATGTTCAATGCTTTCAAAGATTGTTGTTGTTGTTCTTTATTACCCCAAGAAACATATTTGTTATATAATATATTATAATATAATAATCAAAATAAAATCATTCCATTCATATTGACTTTGAATCTTGTTTCATCATCAATATGTTTCAAATCATAAGGTAATGAATTATATAAAATGATTCCGTTGTAGAATACTTATTGTTTGCCAATGATGGATTCATATGGGTTTGCTATTAATGAATTCAACTGTCTCGTTGCATGAGTATGAATTGTATTTACTTCAGTAAAGTTCAAGTTGGTTATTTTTTTTTTCTCACGAAATGGATGAATGGAGAAAAAATTTTCATTTTATATAAAGATGATAAATTCAACAGTTTTTTTGGTTTGTAAAGATTAATAGTTGGTTCCAGGTAAGGTAAATTGTAAATGCACTTAATTGTTTCATTTTGTAATTTCATCGATGGTTTCAAATGTGATATACAGTCGTATTCAATAAAAAAGCGTACAAGTATTAAAAAGACAGGATTTCGGGATCCTAGTTCTAGTTGTGTAAAACTGGCTCAGCCAATGCTTTGTGTTTTCGAGAACCTATGACAACTTTACTGTCAACATTTGGTGAACAATCATTCCCGATAGCCCGTTTTATGCTGAATAGGATGACGTTAATTTCTCTTTGTAATATAGTTGTACGCTTTTTTTTGGAATGCGACTGTACTTGTGCTTCCCCAAATTGATATTAAATATTGTTATTTTGAGTAAATCAGGTGATTTATATGTTTAGTCCACGATAATTGTTCATCCATATAAAGACCTAAGAATTTTGTAACATCTAAATATTTAATGGATTTCTGGTTGAAAAATATTGTTGTTTTCAACATATCAGTATTTCTTTTTGTAAATTTGTCATAGTTAAGAGTCAGCTTATGAATTTGTAGCCAAGATGATATCATTTTCAAGTCACCTTTTATATCATCAACTATATCGTAAATTCTTTAGAGGAATAGATTAATGTTGTATCATCTGCAAATAACTTCAGATCTCCTTTTAGTTTCAAAGATGATATTGAATTGGTGTGAATTAAGAATGAAATTGGACCTAAAACGGAACCTTGTGGTCCACCACATTTGATTTCCCTTACGGAGCTACAAATATTATTGACTTCAACATACTGCTTTATATTTTCCAGATAATTTTTCAACCAATCAAATATTTTTCCTCTGATACCTATTGAATATATTTTACTCAGTAAAATTTTATGATTTACAGTATCGAGAGCTTTACATAAATCTGAAGACAAGAGACCGAATTTATAATTTTGATCAATTTCAAACTGAATATCCGAAATTACATCCATAACTGCTACCTCAGTGTCTTTCGATCGGCGAAATCCATAATGACCACTGTATAGTAGATCATTATTTTCAAGAAAATCAAGAATACGCGTATTCATCATTTTTTCAATAATTTTTGAGAGGATCGGGAGAACTGAAATCGGTCTGTATAGTTATTAAGGTCATCTCTTTTTCCAGATTCATGTATCGGTATGACTTTAGCAATTTTCATTTTATCATGTACAATTCCAGTTTTGAAAGATCTAGTAACAATATACCGGGTGATTCATTAAGGGTAGCGAGGTACCATATCTCAGGAACTAGAAGTCGTACGAGGTTGAGAAAAAAATTCTATCGAGGAAATCGACCAAGGAAAATTGCTGGAAATAGTTTTTTAGTTTCTATATCTACCGCTGGAGGGCGTAATTGCTTTGGTCGTATGAAAAATTGATTTTTCCAGCGAATTTTTCAACATGAGCTGAGGAACAGAAGCTATCACGCTAATGCTGTTAAAATAGTGCGTCTTTTTGTTCCTACACTTCTTTTCGTACGATGTGAAATAATGGCGGTAGACGAGGTTGAACCTTTCCTGACTAAAATACCTTTTCCTTTAATTTGACTGAACGGAATTCAGCAAACTTGGTCTCGTTCGAGAGGGTAATGTTTGTTGATTATATTGAAGGAACACCAGTGCCATGCTGGTTCCAGCTGCACTCACTAGGGGGCCTAATTAAAACATTTCTGAATTTTTTTATTTTACCCCAAAATTTTGAATGGAATGATATAATTAGTTCATCAGTTTCGGAAAGGGAATGAAATTTGCAAGAAATTAATTCAAACCGCATGTTGATATCTTCATTCGTTTCAAAGTTATCGTCTAAAGAATATTTAGTGATGAATTTATTGAAGGAACAATTCATTCTTCTTTTTTTAAAATTTCCTTGGAAACGACCAGTTGTCATGAATTGTTCAATTTGTTTGTGACAGATAAACGCAATTATTTGTTCGAAGTAGCAATTTATATTCTTTGAAATACGCCGATCACGAACGAGGAAGCGTTTGATATGTTGGCTGTTTATTTCGAAAGTTTTCAAAATGATGTTATTGCCGAAAGAGAATATGCATTCAGATATCCAGCAAGACCTCATCACTCAAGACTAGTTTTTAAAAGATTAGCGAGACGATTAAATGATACTGGACAAATCCGTCCAGTCCCAGCTCGAAATAGATTACGTAGAGCAAGAAACGAAATAATAGTTATTTATTATACAAGGGAAAAAAGTAGTAGATTTTAGCTCCAGGTTGTGTTGTCTCCCGACGCGTAGCGGAGGGAGACAAAAAACCGTGAGCTAAAATCTAATATTTTTCCCGTGTATAATACACTATTTTTTTCTGTGACAGAAGGAAGGACGAATCAATATTGAGAAGATATTACATTATTCAAATAATCAAATATCTGATGTCACTTCTGTCAGTTCAATTCTGTGATTTGATTTTGAATAATTGCGAATTCAGTAGTTGTTCAGTAATATACGAAACCGCGAAGTCGAATGGAAGATAAAAGGACTTGCAGTTCTTTCTCGGAGACGGTATTATTGACTCATTTTTCGGAACTATAGCACAACAAAAGCCATTAACAGAGTATATATATGTGATATATATCCGGGAAAGAAGTACTCACTTTTTTCCCACGGGAAAAAAGTAATTCATGAAAAGTGACATTTTATAACCTGCCAACAGAGATGAAATGCCAAACTTTTTTCCCGTCACAGAAAAAATACTATAAATGTCATAGCCTATATCACTGCTCAACCTCATTCAAGTATTCAAGATTTGATTAGAGATCTAGGATTGTCATATTCTTCAATCCAACGTATATTAAAATATCACAAGTTACATCCATACCATGTCATGTTACATTAAGAATTAAAACCTGCCGATTTCGACCATCGATTGAATTACTGTCAGTGGCTATTGGGGATGGTGAATGAAAACAGAAATTTTCTTTCGCAAATACTATGGAGTGACGAAGCTAGTTTTTCCAGTTCAGGAAAAGTTAATACATACATACTATGCACTATTGGACATAAATGAATCCTCACTGGTTGAGGGAAGTTCAGTTCCAAAATCGAGTGTCAATGTTTGGTGCGGAATTTTAGGTGAAAGAATTATTGGGCCATATTTCTTTGAACAGCCTTTAATTGGTGCAACCTACCTTAGTTTTTTGAAACATGAGATACCTATATTGTTGGAAGATGTACCTCTGGAGGACAGAATGAATATGTGGTTTCAACAGGATGGCTGCCCAGCACATTATTCACGCAATGTCCAACATTTTTTAAATAGGCCGTTTCCAAATAAATGGATTGGTAGGAACAGCATATTTCCTTGGCCAGCAAGGTTTCCCGACCTCACGGTATTAGATTTTCATTTATGGGGTAAGATAAAAGATATAGTTTACAAAGACCGCCCATTAACGCCTGATGATATGAAAGAAAGAATTCGGGAAACCGTTCAATAATGGTGGACACCTTTGAACATCTGAGAAATATCTGCTTTCTCGATAATTTTTTGAAAACAAGCATATTCCATAATTCTGATATTTTTTGAATTTTAGTTATGTTACCTGTTACATTATTGTTATCATTAATATGGCATCATTATAAAATTGAAGTTTGCAACTGTCTTCTTTCATTTGTTCATAGCATGGCATGCTTGACCACGGAACTTTGGATGCTAATAGAAAAATTAATTATTTCTTCAATAAATTCATTAATAGATATTCTCTAGGAGATAACTTTGGAACGAATGAAGATATCAACATGCGGTTTGAATCAATTTCTTGCAAATTTTATTCACTTTCCAAAACTGATAAAATAATTATATCATTCCATTCAAGATTTTGGGGTGAAATCAAAAAATTCAGAAATGTTTTAATTAGCCCCCCTAGTGAGTGCAGCTGGAACCAGCATGGCACTGGTGTTCCTTCAATATAATCAACAAACATTACTCTCTCGAACGAGACCAAGTTTGCTGAATTCCGTTCAGTCAAATCAAAGGTATATGTATTTCAGTCAGGAAAGGTTCAATCTCGTCTACCGCCCTCATTTCACATCGTACGAAAAGAAGTGTAGGAACAAAAAGATGCACTATTTTAACACCATTAGCGTGATAGCTTCTGTTCCTCAGCTCATGTTGAAAAATTCGCTGGAAAAATCAATTTTTTATACGACCATAGCAATTACGCCCTCCAGCGGTAGATATAGAAACAAAAAACTATTTCCAGCAATTTCCCTTGGTCGATTTCCTCGATAGAATTTTTTTCTCAACCTCGTACGACTTCTAGTTCCTGAGATATGGTACCTCGCTACCCTCAATGAATCACCCGGTACAATAAAATAGGAGCTAATTCTATACTTTGATCACTTTTACAATTTTAGCAGAAATTCCGTCGATTGTGG